GTCGTGATCCAAATCTCCCAATCCTATGCTTCTCTTCTTCTGCCATCCCGATTTTCGCATTGAAAGACACCCACGACAAGTTTGTAGAAGGGCTTTTCTTTGCGGATGCCTTTCTCGAAATCCTCACAAGAGGTATCAGGTTCCGAGTCATCAGCTACTGATGTTGGAGAATAGTAGGTGATGATAGTAATGGTTTTCTGATACAGAGAACGGAGTCGAAGAACAGCCAGGCGAGGTGATAAGATCTCATGCGAATCAACAAGATGTACATCAGGTAGGTGTACAACAAATCCACGCCTCCTTGGAACTTTCTCTTCACGAAAGATGAGTGCGCCATCACTCAGCTGCTCACGTCCGTCCTCCTGGACTTTGCTTCTGCAAGGCGATTACTTGATAATTGATCCACCTTGCAGTTTCGAGAGGGCCGTGAAGATCGGCGTTGGTGGAGGCTGTCCTGGCGTTATAGTGCAGAGCATGAGACATTCTCCATGGCGAGTCGTTAACGGTGTCCTTTTGGTCCGAAATCCATGGCGTCCTGTGCAACCTGACACTGGTCTTGATGACATCCGATGCCGGAGAGTGACCCACTGGGTCTTCTTTTCTTTTTACATACTGTACAAGCAATAGAATTAATCCAATTAAGCAGACCTGCCAGGACGTGCCAAGTTTCCACCACACCCAATCACTGACCTATATGGATCACAAAACCACTTAGCTCCTGAATCAGCCAGATGGTGATGCTTCTGGATAGGTTTACTCTTAGATGGGCATTCGGGAAATAGGAAACATCGAACTCCATCTTAGCTTGGGAGACCCTGCTGGAGGATAAACCTCCGCGTATCTCGCAGTTCGACATCCAGAGTCACCTCCGCACCACTATGAAGCGGTAAACCTTCACTGGGGGCTGGTGCCAACATTTCTAAAATGCTTATGCAGTTTCAACATGAAAAGCTCAAAGGTGTAAAGCTACCAGTTGTATGGAAACCTCAGTTATATTGGAAAAATATGTTTATTGAAGAATTCAAATTACAAGAAGAATGTCTTTTTCTCGTGAATTGCACATTAGAAGACTTACCACTTTAATTGAAATTATTCACCCTGGTTCCCGTTTTATGCATGATTGGTACATATGGTAGATTATAGAAATCATTGATTGTTTTTGCTGTATTCTGAAATAATATATTAGGCATAGATTAATCATTACTACTTGATTAGGCGCTATGAAGGAAGTTAACAAATGTTCATTCTCTGTTGATGATCAGTTCCACGGCAACATCTAAAGACTTGTCTCTGAGAGGATAAACTAAGAATAATATGCGAATAAATACGTAATCTATCAAGTCGCATGAGTTAACTTGTATGTTCATTTTCCTCTCTGATACTGCGCAATATGGGCGGCTCTCTGTTGATCCGGTCGAACGAAGTATTTTGAATAAGCAAAAATTGTTATCTAATAATACATTCAAAAGTATCCTGTCTAACAATTGAAAACCTTTGCCTCTTTTATTTAGATTTCCTTATGACTTTGATTATAAAGAGATTGCTTATTCCCTAAATCGTTTGCACTAGATGAGGCCGTATACTATGTTATGCACTGGGGTATGTATGCTATCTGTGGCACTTACGCACACGCGTATCTCCGTCATTATCTATCGAGCTTTCTAGAACCATGATCAAAGAGTACTCCATAGTACTTTTTAATGATATGAGCTTTCTTATAACTGTGTCTCTATCTCTTACAATGTCATCTCGTCTTATCACTAAAACACGCAGTTCTCATACTTTCATTTCATTTCTTAACTGCAAGCTAATTTTGGGGTTAACTATGAGTTAATTCCGAGTTTGCTTAGAGTTAGATTAATTTTTTTTTGAATTTCAGCTTTTTTGGAGCTTGTTTATAATCGTTCGAAGATCTTAGCATCTCTCGTACTGAAATATTCTGTATTTTGTCTCTTAACATGTCAACTGCGAGCCTGAAACTCACAGTTAACCTCTAGCTAACTCTAAGTTCCACTGGCAAATCACTACCACCCCTGGATTTTCTGCTTTTCTAACATGTTAACTGCGAGTTAACTTAGTGTTAACTCGTAGTTAACTCGCACTTTCATTGTCATATTACTACCAGTCCTGATGTATAATGTGAAAGCTTGATAGAAAAATGGAAGCCCATTCTTACTTTTTTGATTGAAGCTTTTGATCAAAAGAGCCGTTTGCAGTTTTCATAAAATAGGCAGGTTTGTTCTTAATCTACATGAGAGTATTCGGTGCGTATGGGAGCACCTCCGGTGCATACCCAAAACTAAGCCATCGAACAGCCAGGATATCACCGTCGAAGCAGTCTAGGAAAGCCGCTCATGGCAGCGGATAAGCGCAAGGCTTTCGAAAACATAATAGTTTCTTCTTACAATCAAGTTGCACAAAATAATCTTCTTTACTTTTGAGTCGATCAAATTGAGCCCACCGAGGCTTAATGAAAGAACACCTGCTTATAGG